GGGGGGGGGGAGCATGAGTTATTCTTCAAATGGCCTTGGTTACTGAAGATAGGATTTTGTGATTTACTAGATGGTTGTAAGCTATCAACCTCAGTTTCCCTGTTCTGCTTGTCCTGGCTTACTAGCCTGTCTCAATATTAGCTTAATTATTAGACCAGCCAAAGAACCTAGAAGAAAAGAAGGAAAAATTATTCTTCCCCTAGAGTGTCATTTCCCTCATTTTTTAAAATTATTATTTTTCATTTTAGAGGGCACTTATTAAACAGGACAGTGAAAAAGGAAGGGCCTAGGATAACAGGAGAGGACTGAGTGGGGCTACTTTGAGTCCCTAAGAAGACAGATAAAAGGGGGTCTTGGGGACAAGTTCAGGGAGTTTGTCTGGAAGGAACTGCCACTGCCCATTGATGCCCTGGTTTCATGCCTCCTGAGGTCCCTTACAGTTTCAGAGGTGCACGCCTGTGGAGGAAGGGTTGGGGGAGGCGTGCGCATGTTACTTTGTGGAAGAGCACACCCATGTCTCTCATCTTTACTGTCACCTCACTTAAACTCCAGACAATAAAGGAACACCTACGCCACATTTAGAACCTAAGGTTTTATTGGCCTGAGGAATAAATACTTCCAGGAGACCAAATAAAGGGACATCAGAGAGACTGTGGTCATTGCGATCAGGAGCTCTGGAGCAGGGGTCCCAGAGGAAACGTACCTCTCGTTGACTTTTCTTCTCAACCCACAGGCTCTAACTCCCCAGTATGGACAAAAAAGGGGTCACGTACTAAGCCTGACAAGCTCAGAGGAGGCCTGCTTGGTGGCCTTACAAACCCAGAGGCTGAAAGTAATCACAAAAGATGTTCTAAAATTAAAACTTTCTAGCTAAAAGCAAGTAATGTTGGGTAGTCATGTCCTAGACTGGAATCTTTCTTAACAAAGGTCAATCTGTGCCTTAACTAAGCCTGTCCATTGTTTTGTTTTACATGAAGGATATAATGTACCTTTGGAATGTCAGGTTAAATTCTTCTATGCCACACCCATCAGGGCACTACAGAGCGATAGTCGGTATTGTGTTCACTGTGAACTATCCTGTTCCCACCTCGGTAAGAAATGCATTCATTCCTTTTACTCCATCCAAGGTCAGAGGTTTCCCTTTGGCTTTCTCCCACCTCCCTAATTTCCCCCCAGCAGATTTCAGGTAACCCTCTCATGTCTTCCTCTTCAAATGTATAAAAGTTGCAGAACTGCCCTTCTCCAGAGCATTTTCTCAATCTGTTATTTTTCGTCTGGGAAATTTTCGTCACTTTGGCTCAAATAAACTCATAGAAATTTCCTACAGTTTTGAACATTTCTTACATGTACACCAGGAGCAATACTCATGAGAAACAGGAAGAAGTTGCAGAGTTAAGTATCAGCATTTTCAGGGACACACCTGACTGAAGACAGATTTCTGAACAGAAACTTAGAGCCGAACCAGACACAGCAAGACAGAGCCTCCCTGGTGCTGGCTCCTTTCAGGGAACAGAAGAAAATGCTCCAGGCTCAGGTGACTTCGGGTTTGCTTTACCCTTTTCTTTATTGATAGATTCGTAGAGGCCTAGAAAAAGCCACAACCATTAATCTAAAAAGTATACTTATATACATATATTTTCTGTCTCTCAAATATATGAATGTAGTGTTTTTAGATTAACAAGTACATTTAACTTCTTCACATTATAGAAACATCTAATGGATGCACGCATGGATGACTGAATGTGCTATTACAAATAGTATCTTACTAGGCATGTGATTATTCAACTATATATTAAAATAAAACCCCACTTGCTGTATAGATGCAGCCTATAAAGTGAAAATGAGCAGAAAGACTAACATTTCTTCCATGTCATCTAAAGGACATCACACCATTAAACAGCATGGAGTTGTTGCAGGATCCCCTGACATTTCACGATGTGGCTGTGGACTTCACCTCAGAGGAGTGGCAGCTCCTGGACCCCGATCAGAAGAACCTGTACAAGGATGTGACATTGGAGAACTACAGCCACCTGGAGTCAGTGGGTGAGGACACCTCCCCTGTGTCACTCAGGAGGTGCCCCGTTAGTGGCTTATCCTTTCTGAGCTGCTTAACTCTTCAGAATAACTATAGTTCCCTGAAATAGAATCTGACATCCTTCTCTTGCCCGAGACGAGAGTATAGTGTCCCTTCTCTGGAGAGAAAAAGTCTCTGTGTTATGGATATGAAACCCGTTCATTTTCTAAAATGTACCATTCTCCCTTCTTGACAGGCCCCAGTCCAATTCAATATGTCTAATTCTTCTGTCATTTTCACGAGCAGGGTATCAAGTCAGGAAACCAGACACAATTTCCGAGTTGGATCAAGGGGAAGAACCATGGACAGTACAGGATGAGCTCCACAGTCTGGTCTCTCCAGGTGAGTGGGTGAGAACCAGCAAGGTGGGCAGCCAGAAGGTCATAATCTAGCCAGAGAAAGTGTCAGAGTTGATACAGTGAATGCGGAAACTCAAAGCACTTCTTTGTAGAAGTTTAGGGGAAAACATCCCCCTTTTTTCTCGTCTGAGCTCTGTCCCTGGCTTATTTTATCTGCACCTTGTTTTTGTTTGTGTTGCTTTTTTCTTCCAAGGATTCTCAAATCTTTGTCCACAACCACTGTCTCTGCCTGTGTTATCACCGCTCTTGCTATGAAAATCCACTTTCCAGGCCTCTCTGCAAACAACTTTGAATTCATCACTTTTTTCTTGCTACTGGGCCTTTGTACCCTGTTTGGAAATAATGATTTCCCTGCATAACATCCAATCCCACCTTGGATGCTGTGTCCCCATAATAACCTATTTTTCCCAGTGCATTTATGTCGTTTTTTGCCCTCCTTACCACAGAGTTTTTTTGTTGTTGTTTTTTTTAATGTATCTTTATTGATTTCAGAGAGAGGAAGGGAGGAGAGGGAGAGTTGAAACATCAATGATGAGAGAGTCATTGATTCGCTGCCTCCTGCATGCCCCTGACTGCAGATCGCGCCCACAACCCAGGCATGTGCCCTGACCAGGAATCGAACCCGGATCTCCTAGATCCTAGGTGGATGCTCAACCACTGAGCCACGCCCGGCCGGGCACCACAAAATTCTTAATACTCAGTTCTCATCACTCTTAAAGGTTTCCTCAATTCCCATGAGTTAACTTATTTCTGTTCTGTGAAATGGACTCCAAACTTGACTCCTCCCTCAATATTGTCTACTGTACACTTCCTTCGTCTGTGTTTTACTCATAGATATGACAGCTGGCCTCTGACTCCTCATTTTGTGTGTGTGAGAGCAGGAATCACCTTCCCTCCATCCTTTTTTCCATGCAATTTTTTTTTTCCACACTAAACACTTCAAAGTCGATTCATTCTGGTATCACCTGGGTTGTTTCCAACACATGGAGCTCTCTTGTTTATTTATTTATTTATTTTACTTATTTTTTAAAAAATTTTCCCTAATGAACTCTGCTCTTTAAAGGTCTGTACTATTTTTGTGGGGTTTTTTTATGAACAAGAAAAGAGCTTAACATGCTATATGAGTTGCAGCCCAAACTTAAGATTTTATTCATATACCATACAATTTAGCCATTTAAATTATATACTCAATTGGTTTTTAGTATATTCATATAGTTGTGCAACCATTACCACAATCGACTTTGGAACATTTTATACATGCAGTCTCATCGTGGCCTTGATTCCTTTAGCTTTGTAGTAAGTTTTAAAATTGGAAAGAGTGTATCTGCCAACTCTGTTCTTCTCTTTCCCAATGATTTTGACTTTTGAATACTTACATATTTATTTCAATTTTAGAATCAGCTTGTAAGTTTCTGAAAAAAAACCCCACAAAACAGGACTTTGATAGTGAGTCCTTTCAATCTGCATCCTAATTGAGTACTAATCCCATTTTAACCATATTGTAGATCCTAATCCGGGGTCATTGGGTTTCTTTCTATCTAATTGGGTCTTCAGTTTTTTCCAACAATGTTTTATCAGTTTCAGAATAACAGTTTTACACTTCCCTTTCTTAAATTTATTTCTAATTATGAAATTGGTTGTTTTTCTTTTTTTATTGTCACCCGAGGTTATTTTTTCCATTCCTTTTCAGAGAGAGTGGAAAGGAAAGAGAGAAAGAAACATTGATGTGAGAGACCCATCGATTGGTTGCCTCCTGCAAATGCCCCGACTAGGCCAGGGTTGGAGTTTGCACTTGGCCAGAATCGAACCTGGGACCTACAGTCCACTGGCTGAAATCATTGAGCCAAACCAGCAAGATTCTCTTTTTATTATGTAGTAAATGGAATTGTTTAACTGATTGCATTTTTTGATTATTGCTAGGATGTAAAAATAAAATTGAATACTTTCCCACCCTAGCCTGATGACACATATTCACAGGTAACCAAGGTTCCTGTCATATGGAATTGCAGTTTTTTTAGTGATCTTTGTGATCTGCTATCGTCTTGATTAGAAAGTTTCTGTGTGTTTCCTAAACACTCCTTAATGTGTTCAATACTTGTGATTGCCTCCTACAGTAGAGATAACTTTATTCCTTTTAAAACTTGCTAATGACAGCCTAATATTTTTTAAACCAACAGCAGTACAAAGAAGATTTTTAAATATAATAGACCTTGTTCCTAATCTTTATATGTTACTTTGGTTCTCAGCAGAAGTACTATATAATCAATAATAAACATACAGCTTAGGGTAAAAATTGCTGTAAGGAAAATTAATACATCCAGTGGCACAGTGGTTGTTCATCCCCAAATTGTGCTTTTAGGATTTGGAATGGCTCTTTGATAAGGTGCCTTTGAGAACATAGATAAGGGATCTGAGTCAGCTCGCTGGAGTTTTCCAAACATGAGATGATAGGAAGTTCAAAGGGGTGAGTCTGGAATGTGTTTGAGGAACGTCTAGGAAGCTTGTCTGAATAGAGGGTAATGAGCAAGAGGAAAAATCACTGCAGATAAGGACAGTGAGGTGGCAGCTGGGGGTATTTGGATGTAGGTCACACACTACTTATTGAGGCCATTGAAGACCTTGCTTTCATTCCAATTGAGGTGAGAAACCATTAATGACTTTTGAATAGAGAAGTGCCTTTATTTAACTAATTCTTAAAATGGATCACTTTGCCTACGATGTAGAAGGTGGTCATTATCAGGGAGGAAAGTGTACTGTTAAACTCATGGTTACAATTTGTGACAGTAAAACAATAGAAATTAAATTATCAAACCTGCCTGGCCGGACGTGGCTCGGGGGTTGAGCATCAACCTAGGATCCAGGGGATCAGGGTTCGATTCCCGGTCAGGGCACATGCCCGGGTTGGGGGCTTGATCCGCAGTAGAAAGCATGCAGGAGGCAGCTGGTCAATGATTCTCTGTCAATGTCTTTATCTCTCCCTCCCTCTGAAATCAATTAAAAAGAAAAATTAAAAAATAATTAAATGTCCAGAAATGGTGTTACCCATTCCTGCTGAGTCATCACTGTACTGTATATCATCCGATCATCCCTTTTTATGTAGGAACGTAGTAGAGTATATTACAGCCATATAATTAATTAGGGTCTTGATTACAGAAGCTTTTGTCTAAATTTGAAATTAGCACTTTAGGAGAGTTAGTTTGTCTGCAGAATGAGGAAAAATGGCAAGTTTTTGGTACATCATAACCCTCTATAGGTTTTACACTTCTCTGGAAATCAGATGTTGATGATCCACTTCCTTGCTCTCCATGTATTTGTTCTGTACACCTGGGTCTGCAGGTATGCACCTGATCACAGTCCTCAGTGATTGCTTCTCTTCTGAGGGCTTACTGTATTCCAAAACTTTACGTGTGCTTTCAAATTTTATCCTACATGTTTCAAAATACAGTGTCATTTAGTACTTACTTTCAAGAATTTGTGTATGTTGATGAGATCTTGCTATTTTCAGATAAGACCATTTTTAAGATTTTATATTAATCCAGTTTCTTCATCTTTGTACTTGGACATGTAATAGCCATCTTAAATTTTGCCTCAAAGAGCCATTCCATCTACCCACTGGCTCAAGCCACCCAATTCTTGGAGTAACCTTGAGTCCTCACTTTCATTAACGTCTATCTGCTTTCCCCATTGAGCCAATAAGTGGGCTGCCCTGGCCAGTGTGGCCCAGGTGGATGGAGTGTCATCCTGTAAATGAAAGATGATGTGTTCAATTCCTCCTTGGGGTGTATGTGGGAGGCAGCTGATCAATCATTCTCTCCCCTTCTCCCTACCTCTCTCTAAAATATCACTAAAAACATAGCCTCAAGTGAGGATTAAAAAAATAATAAATAAATACAGAGTATGTCAAAAGTAGGTTTACAGTTATATGTGAATCACAGAGTTCATTATTATATTATGTATTATTGCATCATTTTCCTTATAAACAACTGTAAACCTACTTTTGCCTCACCCTATATATCTTGATTTCATTCGCCTCTAACATCTCCATTGCTCCTTTTACCACGTTTCCCAGACTTCGATTGCCTTTATTTTTGTGTCTGTACCTACAATTATTAAAACTCGGTGTCTTACAAGTTTAACTCAATTCTGACACTATCTGCCTAGAAATAGTCTCATACCCTACAAGTTAAGAGTTCCATCTTATAAGATTGTCTCACCTTCAGATATCCATCGCAAATCCAGTTTGTCATCGGTTCTTCTGACCAACTGGCTATAAATTGGAAGTTCTCGAGAGCCCTTCCTTGGGTTCAATCAATTAAAGCTAGAGTAGCTCTTAGTACTCAGAGAAATACTTATGTTTACTTGTTTATTATAAAGGGTAGAGATGAATAGGTACATAGGGCAAGGTCTGAAGGATTCCTTAATACAAGAGCTTCTGTCCCCATGGAACTGGGATGAACCACCTACTGGGCACACGGATTTGTTCACTAACCAAGAAAGCTGATCAGATCTGGTTAAGAGTTTTTATAGAGTTTTAATTTCTAGGCCCTTCCTCCTTTCCCAGAGGTCAGTGGATGGAGCTGAAAGCCTAGCCTTCTAATCAGTTGTTCTTTCTGGTGAATAACTCCATCCTGAGGCTGTGTAGAAATTTTTTGCTATCTCATTTCATTAACATGAACTCAGTTGTTATTGAAAGCCTTATTTTTTAATGCAAAACAAAAGATACACCTAACACTTAGGAAATTACAAGTGTTTTACAAGCTCAGTGTCAAGATCTGTGGGCGAAGACCAAATACATTTCTTATTCTACAACACATATGAGTATCACTAAATAATTATTTCACATGAAGTAAGGTTTGTAGAAACAGTTTTGTCTTAACCTAAGATTAGGAGAGATTACAGGATGATTCACTGTTCTCTTCTTTCTAGAACTTAGGAATGTTTGTGTTCCTTGTCAGCATTAATTCCAAATGTGGAATGATGCTGTGGACATAATATGTTTGCAAATATTGTTAATAAGGGTGAAGGTCATATCCTATTAAAGCACAATAGTGATTTATTTGAGATACGTGAACATCCTTTAAAATCAAATACATATTTTGGAAACTAAAACAGAAGCTGTAACTTACCTAACTTTGTTGATTTGAATGCAGGTGAGACAACCATTCTGCACAGTAACCATGAACAGTTTTACACTGAAATTAAATTGCCTCTCAATACCAAACCCATCAATAATAAATCCCAGGTCATTCAGCAACATAGAACTCACACCATAGGGGAAGCCCACATATGCATTGAATGTGGGGAAGCCTTCATCAATATATCTGAGCTCATTGATCATCAGACAGTTCATACTGGAGACAAACCTCATGGATGCAGTCTGAGTGGAAAAGCCTTCTCCAGAAAATCCAGGCTTACTGAACATCAGAGAATTCACACAAGAATGAAACAAAGTGAATACACTGAATGTGACAAAACCTTCCTCAAGAAATCACAGTTGAATATACATCAGAAAACTCACGTGAAAGAGAAACCTTATACGTGTAGTGAATGTGGGAAAGTGTTCATCAAAAAGTCTGGGTTCATGTATCATCAGCAAGCTCATAGAGGCAAGAAACCCCATGAATGCAGTCTATGTGGGAAGATCTTCTCTACAAAGTTCAGTCTCACTACCCATCAAAAAACTCATACAAGAGAGAAACCCCATCGATGCAATCTATGTGGGAAGACCTTCTCTACAAAGTTTATACTCACTCTACATAAGAACACTCATACAGTAGAGAAGCCTCATATATGCAGTGAATGTGGGAAAGGCTTTATTGAGAAGAGTCGCCTTACTACACATAAGAAAATTCATACAGGTGAGAAACCCCATGGATGCAGTGTATGTGGAAAAACCTTCTCTGCAAAGTTTAATCTCACTATACATCAGAGAACGCATACAGGAGAGAAACCTTATACATGCAGTGAATGTGGGAAAGGCTTCTCAACGAAGTGCTGCCTTACTGGACATCAGCGAACTCATACTGGAGAGAAACCCTATGTATGTAATGTGTGTGGAAAAGGCTTCTCCATGAAACGTGCTCTCACTATACATCAGCGAATTCATAGTTCAGAAAAACCATATATGTGCAGTGAATGTGGAAAAGGTTTCACTGTGAAGCGTGGTCTGATTATACATCAGCGAATGCACACAGGAGAGAAACCCTACGTATGCAGTGAATGTGGAAAAGGCTTCCCAGTCAAAGTGCAGCTGGTTTCACATCAACGGACTCATACAGGAGAGAAACATAATTGTCATGAATGTGGGAAAAGTTTATCAACAAGGTACAACCTCCTTTTACATAAAAGAATTCATTCTGGAGAGAAACCCTATGTATGCAATGAGTGTGGGAAAGGCTTCATTAGGAAGCGTACTCTTAGTGAGCATCATCTAACTCATACAGGAGAGAAACCTTTTATGTGTAGTAAGTGTGGGAAAGGCTTCACCAATAAGCGCTACCTAAGTGAACATCATCGAAGTCATACAGGAGAGAAACCTTATATATGTGGTGAATGTGGGAAATGCTTCTCAGCAAAACACAATCTCATTTTACATCAGCAAACCCATACTGGAGAGAAACCCTATGTATGCAATGTGTGTGGGAAAGGCTTCGCCAGTAAGTGCCCTCTCCTCAGACATGAGCCAACACATATGAGACATAAGCCCTAGGTTTGCAGTATATGTGTAAAAGGCTTCAGCATAAAACATCTTGTACATGAGCTAACCCATACCTCAGAAAAAAATGTATATTTGCAATGAATGTGGGAAACGCTTTACATTCAAGAGTAATCTCATCAGATATCAGCTAATACAGGAGAAAAGCTATATGTATACTGAATATGGGAGACATTTCACAGAGAAGAATAGTCTCATCAGACATTAGCCAACACATACAGGATGTAAATAAATAATGGCACAGCCACTATAAAAAAAGTAGTAATCCTATATGTGCAATGAATGTGATAAAGGCTTTACCATGAAGAGTCATCTCAGTGTACATTGGCATACTCATACAAGAGAGAATCTTTACATGCAAGTCAGTGTGTGAAGACAATTGGGAAAAACATGCTCATTGCACATCTGTGAGTTTATATGGAGAGAAACTATATATGCACTGCACATGGAAACGGCTTAACCATGAACTACTCTATACATCAGCAAACTCATACTGTAGAATATCTGCATAAATGCCATGGGTTTGTTGAAGGCTTTAGGAGACGTGTCATACAAACTCAGAGATTTCACTCAGGAAAGAGTCCCTTTGCATGTACATAATGTTAAAAATTATTGAGGAAAGATGATGTCTACTTATCAGAGAATTTCCCCTGCCTTTCACAGCTTTACATAACTTTGCATTTTCTAAAACTTACATGATGTGATTCTGCTTTTATATACATTGTATCAATATTTGGAGATTTAGTAATGATATATTAGTAGCTTTTTTCCCCGGAGAAATATCTTATCTTTGAATATGTTACCATTAGTTTATCCATTCCTTTGTTTACAGACATTCAGTTATTTGTAATTTTTTACTATTTAAAATAAATCTGGTAGAAACATTTGTGTATAATTCTTTATGTAGATAAGTTTCATTTACCTTTGTCAATAGCTCATAATAAAACATTTGTATTGGAGGATAGGTGAATGTTTGACTTATAGAGATTAGCAAGTTGTGATCTAAACTGATTGTAGCTTTTTGCATTCTTTCAGCATTGTATGAGGGATTCAGTTTCTCCATCTACTACAGGATATTTGGTTTGGTTAATCATTCTTTAAACTTTTTAAATAACTTTGTCATGCTACCTCAATGATTGTATTTTTCTAAGGAGGTATGGTGAGTCTTTTCTCAGATGTGTATTTGCTGCCTCTGCATCTTTGGTAAAAAGTCTGATCAGATGTTCTGCCAAATCTATTAGTTTTGGCAATTTTCTTTAACAATAGGACAGTGAAACAAAGATGCTTGTTGGAATTTCACTCATTTTTGTGCTTTTCATGCTTTATGGAATAAATTTTTTTGTATTGGAATATTATGTTCTAATATTTTTCACTTGGTTTATGCTATGCATAATGTAATGGGCACTTAATTTTAACTTGCACTATTAAATCTATTACAGAAGTCTAGATATTTGATAGTACAATAAGCCATTGCTTTGTAGTGTTCTATTTTTCTGGTTTGCTGTCATGGGGGTTCCTTGGTTAGAACAGGACTCTCAAGGGCATCAGATGGCATGCTAATGGGCAAGGGTTTAAAGTCCCAAAGCCCAGTGCAGTGGGAAGTGGTAGGGCAGTAATCAGACTCCCATACTCTGTATCAGGCACCCTGGATTTGAATCCTACATTCCTGAATATTATTGACACTGATGGGATAAAACACTTTTTCTGGTCTGAGCCTCAGTTTTATTTTCTCTAAAATAGATATGAGGTATGTCTTTGTCCCTGAGGTGTTGCAGGAGATCAACAGCTAAGGTGCCCGTTTACAGTGCAGCAGATGTGTCTGCAGCCTGTCTACCCTCCACGAACCCCATCCTTTGCCTTAAGAGACATTCCCAGGACAGGAACCCCTCACTTCCCCAATGCCAATAAGCCCCTTGGTATTTAAGAGCTTTTGGGGGGGGGGGGAATCGGGCTTTTAGAACATGCTGACCAACCTGCAGGGAGGTAGGTGCTGTGGGCACTCAGGTCTCAGTGTCTGGTCTCCACCGGGGAATCTCCAGCCAATTTGCTAGAGCTTCCTGCATTTCAGTTGGCTGAATCTGACATGGCGATGATGGCACTTACCTAGGACTTTGAGGATCAAAAGTAACAAGCTGAGTACTTGTTGCCAGGATTTCAGGGTTAGCTTTTTTAGCATTTTCTCTTAATTCTCACAACAACCTGGGAAGTCGAAACCAATATCGAATTGCTGGGAACATCCATGATTAGAGAAATAAAGTAGGTTCTCCAAGTTTACTCAACAGACAAGAGTCAAGTGTAAGAAACTGGATTCCAACTTTGGGACTCTGGCTCCAGAACTAGGGTCACTACCACTACTGTGAGGCCCTCACTGGGGCATGTACACTCTGAGGACCAGGGAGGCTCAGCTGAAGTTGCTGTTTCCATTGTTGCAATTATGATTCTCCCCTGTTCTAAAATGTCAGAGCACTTCCCCTCTGTCCCTCAGTCTTTACTGGAACAGCATTATCTGTCAGCTACAGTGGTTTCTCCCGGAGGAACCTTTGAGTCTGAACTGCCATTTGTCTGCCTCCCCTTTTATCCCAGCATAGAGTTTGACCCTCAGGAGACCTCAGTAATTTGGGCTGGGTTTCTCCACCTTCACCCTCACTTTGGGTGTCTGCCTGTGATCCCATGTACTCTGATGCATTTGCGGTCTCAGCTTAACCCTTCAAGTGATGCTCTTATATGCCAGTGACATTCACCCTGGAGAAAGGGAACCTGTACATGAATTCTAGGACCTAATATTCAGAACTGATTCTGAAGATCTACAGAATTTGGGTTTCGTTGGGAGAGTGCTCGCCTCTTTTCTATGCAAGGGACCAACTGCCTATGTGATTCTGTCCTCTATAGGACATACTGGCTGTATGAGACATTTCTTCCCTTAAGCCCTGACCTTATTCTGGACCTGCATCCTCCTTTCTGGTCTTGTGTGTACACCAGAGACCTTTGGTTTGAAAACAGTTGTGGGTTTTTTTTTTTAGCACAAACACTAACTGCAGTGCTCAGCACACTGATCGCAAATGAGATCATTACTCCAGATTCCAGTTTCTGGAGAGACACAAGTACACTTTTTAGGACACAACCTATATAAGAAAAATTGCAGTTTATTTTAAAGAGAGTAATAATGATGGTCACAGCTACGGTTCCCCTAAGCACAAAGCAGGTTAGAGGTAAGTTGACCAGTTCAAACTCTGCACGTTGAATTCTAACACTTATAGTTTAGCTTTCAAATTCTTAACGTGCCTGATTATCTTCCTGTTTGTGTGTTACACTGTTTTATTGGCATGCTTTTTAATGTTTGTCTGGCTTTCACTAAATTCAGCCGGAAACTTAATACCCACCTTCATCAAAACCATGTTAGTAATATCTTCCTACAGATTCCATTTGCAACTCATTCTTCGAAAAGTTCCGAGAATGATAACTCAGCACTGGCTGAAATCTGACAAACATGAGTAAAAAGCACTTTCCATTTTTAAACAGATATTTATTGGATTACTATTTTTATTTTATTTTATGTTTTTTAAATATATCTTTATTGATTTCAGAGAGAGGAAAGGAGAGGGGGGAGAGAGAAACATCAATGATGAGAGAGTCATTAATCAGCTGCCTCCTGCACACCACCGACTGGGGATCGAGCCTGCAACCCAGGCATGTGCCCTGACTGGGGATCGAACCCTGATCTTCTGGATCCTAGATCAATGCTCAACCACTGAGCTATGCCCGGCCGGGCCCCATAAATCTTTTTAAATATAATACTCCTTGTGATGTAAAAAATTTTGAGTTATATATATAGGTCAATTATCAGTATGAATGTGAACCTCATTTACTCTATAGTTCATGAATATGTTCCTAATCTTATTTCATTCACCCTACCATGCATATTGTTATCCTCACCTAAGGATCCGTTTTTTGCCTATAGAGACAGAAGAAGTGGGAGAGAGTTAGAGAAACATCAATGTGGGAGAGAAGCATCCATTGATTGTCTCATGCACTGCCTTGACTGAACTTGGGTCTGTGCCCTGACAGTGGAGTCGAACACATGACCCTTTGGTGTATAGGATGATGCTCTAACCATGGAGCAACACAGGTCAGGGCTATTAATAATTTTAAAAGTAGGGTATGTACATTATTTTTTGGCATAACGCTTTGGCACAGTTAACAGACTACAGTAGTGTGTAGTGTAAACATAAATTTTACCTGCACTGGGAAACCAAAAAATTCTTGTGAGTAGCTTTATTGACACATTCACTTGTTTGGTCTGGAACCCAACCCTCATTGTCTCGGTGGAATGCCTGTAATTGCATGTATTTGATGTTCTTCACATGTTCTCCATTGTTTGCAATTAATGTATAATGAGAGCCAGAGGCATCTGACCTGAATCCAGCTTTCCTCTAGCCACACCCCTGCGCAGGCAGAGCTACACTTCTGATTGCATCAGGAGCAGATACTCTTACCAGTGTATTTTGTGACATGAACTTAGTGGATTCAACGGAGGCCGGGTAGATCCTGTTAGAGACCTGAGCCACCTCCCCAGCTAGATTCGGCCTGAAGGGACAGATGCCAGGTGGCCTGCGTGAAGAAACGAAACGGCTGGCATTCCGAAAGAGCAGATCCTGAAGAAAGACGCGCAAAACCAGCAGCTAAAGGACGCCTCGCAGGTGCACTGGAGACAAACTTGCCCCGCAGATGTCCTCCACAGAAGGCGCTGGAGGGCACTTAGTATACTTGGTGTATCGTTGCCCCAGATGCCCCCAAACCCACTCCTCCAGTCAGCTGAGGAAATACAGGCTCCAGACCCAGGAAGGAAGGAACTGCATTACCCAGAAGGCTCGGCGCGGATTGCCACCACGCTGAGCCAATGAGGGCTCAGAAAGGGCATTTCCGGGAGGCCACTTCCGCAGGGCGGGCAGTCGGTAGTGGCGGGATTTCGGAGTCTCTCAGTTCTGTCTGAGGGGGTCGCAGGGTCCAGTGGGAAGGCCCGAGAGTGGTGTTTCCCGCCACGCAGCCAGTGGTCTGAGTCTCGAAGTCGCCCCTGGGTGACCCAGCCCGGGGCCTGT